CCATGACCATGGCCCCTAGGCCCAATATATTATTTGTAGGGCTTCGTTGTTGGACCGTCAACACGCCTGTCAGTGTGTTCGTACTGGAACGACCACTGTTACTAGGGAGCAACGAAAGCAAATTACACAAGCACCACGGGTACATATACTTACACAAGCTAGACTAGTATGGAGGAACTCACGAACTGATGGGCTCTAGCTATCCTCACTCCTCGCCAAAGACGTCAACCGCATCGACGATCTCGTGCCGGGTCCCATTGACCCCGCTTGGGTCTCCGTGACCATTCAAACCATGGGATTCATCGACCTCGCCCTCAGCATCAGCATCGGCATCTCCTCGTGCGAGCGGGAACAGAGGGTCGACGACCTCCGCTAGCGCCTCCTCGCGTTCCTGAGCCTCTTCGGTGCTCATTGGAGTATGCGTGAGACGGACAACGTCCCACTTATCGCCATACGACTCGTACGTCTGTGTGATTATGTCAGTGGCAAGCACAATGTGGTAGTGAATGACACATACATTGACACGCTTCTTCTTGAGAAGCATCTTGCGCTCGATGTTCTTGTAGTATGCGCCCTTTGGCCGCGACTTCTTCGTGTCAAAGTCGTCGTCGTTCGACATACCGTCATCCAGTACGAGCAGGAACTCGTTGGGAACTTCCTGCTCGACCTTGACCGTCTCGTAGTCTCGCACAAAGTGGAAGAGGGTAGGCTACGGTCATGCATGAGCTGGTGTCTGAGGGAACTCGGTAGGTATGATACACACCTCGTCTTCAGGAGGATCATCTGGCGAGCGAGCGAGGCGGTTAGTCTTGAACTCAATGGCGTCTTCATCCTCCTTTGTGAGATAGTACGCCAAGAAATGGTCCCCATCCGCCTCCATAGGTCGCAACACTGCGCAATCCAGACGCGGGTCCTCGACCTGTTACACGCACAACATCTCAGCATACCAGCCACAGTATCAAAAGAGAAGTAGATGCCTTACATCTAGTGGCCTATCTCCTGGCCTCTCAGAGAACCTGAACAAATCATATGCATTCGCCCAAATCTCCGCGTCTGGGAAGATCTCGAACGTTTCGACCGCGGTAAGCTCAGGCTTCGTAGGGTGTCGTAATGAAGCAAGGTCGGAGTTCTCAACAGCGGCAAACGACGCCTCGATGTCTCGCAATTGCGCGTCGCGCGAGATGTCGATCGCGTTGTCTTGGTTTTGTTTGCTAATCCGGCCATACGTGTGAGTACGCTCCGCGGCGAGGATGCATCGGCAGCACGAAGAACGAACACGTACAGGTCTTGGGATAGAGATGCTCTGGATGAACCCTCTCGACTGAGGTATTCCGTCTTGCGTAGCCATGGCACGTTGGGCATTGCAGCTAATGGTGTTGAGGCTCCCGACGCGACCGGACCGAGGAAGGGTGCGGCTGTTGACGCAGGATCTCCGAGCATGAACTGGTCTCGTGGGTCAATCTTGGAGGGTCGATTTGGGTCAGGGTTGAGTTCTTCATTGGGGTATCGCCACAAGACATGAATACGCGAAACATCCAAGGACTCGCTCGCACAGCACGCACCGGAATCATCCCCGTTCTCCTCCCACAAGCAGTCCCATTGCGACAGGTCCAAGGGCATACCCAGCTCTCCATCCACGACCATAGGCAAGGGCATGCTCGTGGCGATGTCGTCGAGAAATTCGGGACGCGCATAACGCTTGGGGTCGGTGGGTATATTGAGGAGTTTCGGGGGACATGGTGGCGAGGGAAGTGGGTTGGAGTATCGGACCCGGATGAGCAGGTCAAGTTTACTGCACTGCAAGTTAGATCTGGCTTGTCCTAGGTATTTGACACGCAACTAACCTTTTCTTGAAACTCATCGTGGACGGTGGCTAAGCCGAGGGTGGTGGTATGTACTGAGCCAGACGGTTGACGCACCGACGGGAAGAACACCTCTTGCGAAGCGCCCGGCGCAGGTTCTCCTACTCACAGTCTAAGGTTAGGGTCACCTTACGTCTTGTCCCCCATCCTTCAAGACACACGGTCAAGATCACCGAGAAACCGCAGCTGAGAAGAAAATCACAACTCGAACACAGCGTTGTAGTATAAACTGTATATCAAAGAACCCATGGGAGAAGAACAACAAGTAGAACCCATCATCGCCTCTACCGCTCCGACGGAATCAGTCACAACTACTCCCTGTGCAATGTCAGTCATTTTCTTGTACCCGGACATATTCCGGATTGCCTGAGACCACTCACAGCTGTCGGAGACAGTTCTCGCGCTACACATGCCCCCGGTGCAATATACCTTATTGCTCGCTCGTCTGCTACCGCTCCGAGGTATGCCTCCGAATATATTAACCTACAGTGCTCTTTCTAACGGCCGCGTTCATCATAGAAACATGGTGACTGCTCCGAGTCCTTCTACAAGAAGGAGGTAGAACTCGATGTCAAGAGCGCGCCCTCCGCGAATGTCGAGGAGAAGCGCCGCATGATGGACCTCCTAAAGCGTTTCGAAGAGGACTCTCTCGATGATAGCCCCTTGCTCGGAGACTCGGATAATGAAGGCGATGACGACGCAGACGATCTTCAAGAACGGTTGCAGAACATTGATCTTGGTATATCTGGTTCGCACTTCTAGCAGCAGTGGTCCATTGACCATATGTTTGACAGATTCTGCTTCGTACGATGAGCTGTGGAAGGTTCTGACGCCTGCCGAACGCGAGAGGTTCCTCCGCGCACTGAACGATCCCGATAGCGAACTCGCACAACAGCTGCTAGCTAGCGAAGAGCTGGAAAGAGAGCAGGTAGAGCCGTGGTGGGAAGCATCCGCCGATGATATCGCAACTTCCGCCCCAGTCAGCACAGAGGCAAAGCGAAGACACGGAGGGAGGCCACCGATCATGCCCATTCCAGAGCCGTTGGTCAAGCAGTCCTCCACTAACACGCTCAGCGGGCCACTTCTATCATACAATATATGCGCTGTTTGGTGCGTCTACTCTGAGCCACTAGAATATATTACTTACAGGCTGATGAACGCAAACTGTAGCATCACTTACGCATATATCATCCGCTACTTCGCCATCTCACCCCTGTCATCACTACCAACCACGGACCCCGACCGCTCAGAGATCAAGCGGTCAATATCTCAGCTCGTGCCGTTCCTCACAGACCGACGATCAACACTTGTGCACTCCTCGCTTTCCGAAGTCGTGACAGATCTATGGTCGCGATTCCCGCCTGTAAGTTGGCCGTGCGCTCGTGCTGAGCATACCCTAGCTCATTCGCACTGTGCAGGGTCATATGCACTCGCAATTCTTCTCTCTCTTGCTCAAGGATACAGCTCTCTTGTTGCGTCCTGCGACGGTAACAGTCGTCCCAGACCGCGGTTCCGCTCTCACTTCCGCCGAGCTCGAAGCCCATCCAAGCGCGAACGCGCTTCGTGTCCTATCCGACTTCGCAGAGTTCTTCAGCGACGACTCACGCTCGCCAGATCCTGCAGTCCAGCAGCAACCCAATTCCCTGTCGCCACAACCTTCGAAGGCGAAAGTGAAGCTTAACCACGTCGTGCACAAGCTCACGTTCTACGCGGCGTACATCTTGGGGACGCCTACGCCCATGCTACGCATGCTGGCAGACGAGGCGACGATGCGTGCGAAGATGCTGGAGAATGAGGCGAAGCAGGGCCCTCAAGCTACTAGCAGCAGCCAGAATGTGAAACGAGTTGGCCATGGGAAGGGAGAGGGAGAGGAAGGCGCCAGGATCAAGGAGCTGTCATAGTCCTGAGCATGCTGACTGATATGGCAGGATGGTCTATTGCTGTTGCCATTATACATAATGATGGGATAGCATGTTCAGGTTTTACGATGTCCAAAGTCTGTCATGCTTTGTCCCTGGGGTACCATCTTGACGAGTAGCCCGTCAGCAAGCAACGGGAGAAGATCAAAACATTGCTTGCTTACTAGTATGTACAAGAGTATAGTAGTACAGATATCATTGAGTGGTGTGAATCTTTCGATGCCCGACTTTCTAGCATTGCGGCTGTTCACGGTCCAGAGCCACTACTAGCCTTGCAGAACGATATTATCACTCACCATACGGCAACCTCAATCACAGCTCCCGTCCGCAGGACCATCCTTCCATCGCTCATCCAGCTTTTCGATCGCACAGTCGAACTTGTCCTTCCCCAGCCGCTCGTTCACCTCGTTATGCTGCTCGCACAACCACCTACTGAGCGCCGTGCGGCTGCTCACGTCCGGTGGGTGCGTCTTCATCGTGTCCCCGAGGTGCGTCGCGCACACCGAGCACGGGTACAGCACGGGCAGCGCGCGCAGGAGAGAGAGCATGTTCACGCGGTGCGCCATGCTCGGCTTGTCCGGGTAGTACGCCGCGGTCGTGTGCAGGAACGTCCACGTCGCGTTTCCGAGCTGCTCTACATCCGGCGGGCAGTTCGCAGGGCGCACGTAGGTATCCGGTTCGGGGGTGGGCGCGGAGGCCGTGGTGGTGGTGGTTTGCTGCTGGGACGTCGAGGCAAAGCCTGCCCCCGACGCGAAGGCAGCCATCATAGCGGCAGTCTTGTCCTGACTCGGTGCATCTGTCTGTGTGCTCTTCGCGGGCTTGTCTATACGCGGCTTCCAGTTGCGGAACGCGGTACAGATTTTGCATGGCTTTCCATCCGGACCCAAGACCATGCCCGGAGGAAGAGACGGTTTAGATGGAGTACCAGAGCTCGACGAGCCTGAGGATGCTGGTGTGTTGTCCGTTGCCGTAGCCATTTCGCGCGTACCAGATAGAAAAGAGATACAGGACGAGGGGAAAGTCTATGTACGCTCAGAGCCGGGATGGGTGCATTGGTCAGGCTTAGTCCTCCAGCGCTAAAAGCTTTACGACGACGCACGAGCGCCTATTGTGACTTCCGCCCGTTTCGCTCGACTTCCGCCTCCTCTCCCACTCTTCCGACGCGTTTCCGGCCCCCTGGACGCTCGTACATCGCAAAAATGATAGAAACAAAAGTAAATGACGAGAGTGGGATTCGAACCCACGCCCTTTCGGACCAGATTTGGTTGGAATACCTTAGTCTGGCGCCTTAGACCGCTCGGCCATCTCGCCTCAAAGTTATATTCCTCCAGTAAGCCTATACACGTTTCTGCATAGGGAATATGACCTGGATATGGGAGAGTCTACTGTAGGCATGAGCCTTGTAGTAGTGGCCAATTAGCAAGGTAAACGAGCCAAACAGTGGGGATTAGGGCGAAATGGTAGTCAAGATCAACGGTACCAGCCTAGTGCCTCAATGTACATGTTTTACTGATCCAATTATCCAAATTGTATAGGGAGAGTGCTGCCTTATATACGACTACGTGTCCTCATGCCGGTATGTCTTAGGTTGCTGCTCATGCGGACGGTAAGCTGTCATGTCATGTGGAGGAACGGAACGGAACAGTTTGACCGGCTGCCTACATGTTTCGGCGATTCTGAGGTCCTAGATCGGGCATCTCAGCGGACTACCTACAACAGAGAACATCAGCCTAATACTTGATATTACGTCCAGGTTTGTTGAAAGACGCTTCGGTAGCTCGATGTCGGTTGTTTGAGCCGTATACCAAATCAAAGAGCAACTGCCAGTCGTAATGTGTTCTTGAACACTTGCCATATTGGGACACCGAGGGAGGCGCGGTGGCTGTTCCCAGTGCTCGGGACGAATTTGATGGCTTGGCGCGGCGACGGGATTAGGGGAAGCCCCGCCTGAGTCCGCTCGGGTGGCCGGCTGTCACCGTGCCATGCATATGGCCGTTGCTGGCACTGCTGGGACACTGGCACACCCGAGTTTCAGCCATGGAATCTACAGCCCCAGGCACACCTCCCTCGCATCTTGCTCTTAACCACAGCTTTCCCCGTTCCTCGCCGCTAACGGTCGGCTTTTTGTCCGTTCTCACCTCGTTTCTTCCGCCACACTTGTCTCGGCTAGAGTCTGAGCCAAGCTGCGACACTCACTTGAGACAAGACTCCTGGAGCGTCTTCACTTTGGAGCCGGCGTCGGGCACCTAGCATCTCAGACTCTCAGCCATGGATCTGTTGAGGACCAAAAAAGTGTATCGGTTTATACCTATCGGAGCAACTGCTACGTTTCTACTCTGGGCCTTGGCTCACTTCGGCGTAAGCGACCACTCATTATACGGCAGCCCTCACTCCGATGAGCACGACCATTTCCTCCGTCCCCCACATCCGCCCCCACCTTTCGGCGGTGAATGGCAGCCACCACCGCCTGTTGCAGGGAGCTCACATCCCACTCATGACCGACCGAACTCCAAGTGGGCTCAGCGTGCAGACGCGGTGAAAGACGCGTTCTCTCATGCATGGCAGGGGTACCAGGAGTACGCCGGATCACACGACGAATTGCTGCCAGTGTCCAATGGCTCCGTTGACAAGTACGTCGTGTCTGTATCTGATCTGTCAATTGACTTCAACTTTTGGCCAGCTTCAATGGCTGGCGTCTGACGTTAGTAGATAGCTTGGACACAATGCTCATTATGGGCCTACACGACGAGTTCCAGAGCACTATACCCATCATCGCCAATATGACATTTGCTCTTCGAGAGGTAGGCAAAGTGAACATACCAACCCTTCGTAAGATCGCTCACCTAGTGCACAGGGCTCCTACGCCCCCTTCTTCGAGACCGTCATCCGATACCTAGGTGGACTTCTGTCCGCATACGCGATATCCGGAGAGCCCATCTTGCTTTCTCGAGCGGATGACCTGGGCACCATGCTGCTGCCGGCGTTCAACACCTCGCATGGGCTTCCCATGTACGCCGTGAACACCGTCTCGTGAGTGACAGGAGAAAACGTAAGACGTATATTGACGGAAACCGGTCTCACAGTGGGAAGACGAGGACGGGCTGGTCGGGCTCCAGTGTCCTTTGGTCGGAAGCGCTCAGTTGCCAAATGGAGTACAAGTATCTGGCGCACTTGACCGGTCGCCGAGAGTACTATGAGAAGGTCAGTTTTACATATCATCTTATTGAGAATTCTGAATGCTATGAAGTGCCTACAGGTCGAACGCATCATGGATCTCATGGACTCAGCAGGCATCACGACTGGCGAGTTCCCCACCAAATGGAACCTTCTGACCGGGAAACCTCTCAACAGTAAGTCTCTGTACGACTACGGCACAGCTGCCAATCTAACTCATGCCCGACCACAGGGCAGTTCTCCGTGGGCGCGTTTGCTGACAGTGCTCACGAGTACCTACTCAAGCAGTGGCTGCTAACCGGCAAATCCGAGTCTAAAGCCCGTGATCTCTGTAAGGCCAACGTCGCCTTCGCACATCTGCCAATCCTGACGTCTACATCGAACAGATCTGCGCGATGCTGAAGCCATCATCAAAAACCTTCTCTACATCACGCCCAACAGGCAACTCCTCTATGTCACCGACACGATCAGCTCCAAGCCGAGCTACACCTTCGAGCACCTCTCCTGCTTCCTCCCGGGGCTGCTCGCCCTCGGCGCGCACACGCTCCCACTCTCCGATCGTGACCGGAAATTGCACCAGTGGGCCGCCCAAGGCCTCGCGTATACGTGCTGGCTCACGTACGCGGATCAGGCGACCGGATTGGGTCCGGATGAGATGTGGATGACACGCATGCTCGCGGACGACGCGCACCCGTATGGTGGGCGCTGGTTCGATCTGGTCGAGGAGTGGGAGGAGATGGGGCGTCCTGGCGGTGTGCCTCCGGGGTTGAAGGAGGCGCCTCCTGAGAAGGAATCTTCTGAACGGGACTATCGCGCGGTGAAGACCGCGTACTTGCTCAGACCGGAGGTAGGTGGGCCAGATGGCTGATATCAGGCTGTCATTGACGTGGTCTTCACAGACTGTAGAAAGCTTCTATATCATGTGGCGGACCACGGGCGACGAAGTTTGGCGAGAGCGTGGCTGGTCCGTCTTCGAAGCCATCGAGAAGCACGGGAAGACGGCGAGCGGATACGCCAGTGTCTTCAATGTCGACAAGATACCTGCTTCGCTGAAGAACGAAATGCCAAGGTGGGTCTCGTCGCGCCCCGCTCTTGACTTTCTGGACTGACAGATTATATACAGCTTTTTCACAGCCGAGACGTAAGTATTGACCGCTTGCTCCTATTTCTGTCGTACTGAGAACTACACCGTTGTACAGACTCAAATACCTCTACCTACTCTTCCAAGACGAGGAACTGATACCCCTAGACCGATGGGTGTTCAACACCGAGGCGCACCCTCTGCCCGTGTTCGAGTGGACAGAATGGGAGAAGGAACGCTACGGTATCAATCCCGAGCAACCTATCGCTGCAGCAGCTGCGACATGACCTCTATATCTAGCACAGAAGACTAATGACGGCATCGCTCATCTGTATAATACCGCATATTTGTTGTCTTGCTTTACCGTCTGACCACACTGGCGTACAATCGGTCCCAGGCGGGACGGCGGGCCGCCGCCGTTACGACCTCCCCCGCGGCATCGTGTGGGCGAACATTGGAAGCAGCGTCATGCTACCTCCCTTATCTCCCTCTAACGGTGTTCTATCACTCAGGTATCCTATGCGATCTGCCGGCGTGGGCCCATAAAATGCGACGGAGAGTATAGGACGTACCAGGTTTGGCGCAACGCTGCCAATCTGTTCACTGCAATGATCACCCACAGCTTACGGCCACGACCCAGGGTACCCTCCCATGGGTTCGGGACCACACTGATCCTCTTGTGCTTGTGCAGTTTCGTGGTGGCAGGCTTCGCTCCCTCCATGCGCTTCTTGGAGCATCTCCCGCGTGTGGCCGGAGACGCTGCAGAGGCTCCCGCTAGGAATGACGCTCTCTTTTTCGAGGTGTGTCACTATGATCATCGACGGACACGAATACTCACTTGGCTCGACATAGATGCCTTTGGATCATTTCGGCAGTACTGCAGGTACCTTCAAGAACAGGTATTGGGTCAATGAGACGTACTACAAGCCCGGAGGCCCTGTATTCTGTAAGTGCATGCCACTGCTATTTGCAAGTTTCGAAGAGACTTATTACAGATTGAAATTCGAAACTCAGTGTTTGATTCTGGGGAACAAAACGCGGAACCACTTCTACCGTATTATCTACAGGAGTACCACGGGCTCTCGGCGACCATGCGCCTGGCGAAGCGCTACAACGGGCTCGCCATTTTGTGGGAGCACCGATATTACGGCGACTCTCTACCTTTCCCCATCGATGTAAGCATCAAATTAGGATTGGCGTCACGAGTATAGTCGTACTAAAGCGTGTGCCTCCTTACAGGAGAACACGACAGCCGAGCAGTGGCAGTTTCTCACTACTGACCAAGCCCTGGAAGATGTCGTCTACTTTGCGAACAAATTCTCGCTTCTGCACGCACACGGTCCCGAGAACTCGACCGTCATTTCAGGTGCAGCAGATACGTCGAGTTCTCTACATCCATCGAATATTCCTTGGATATGGCTTGGGGGCTCATATCCAGGCGTCCGCGGCGCTCTCCTCCGCGTCCGGAACCCAGAGACTATCTTCGCCGCCTGGGCCTCGTCGGCCCCGGTACACGCGCAGGTCGACATGGCTGCGTACTACAAGGCCGCCGAACGCAGCCTTACGCGCAATTGCTCGGCGGACTGGGTCGCTGTGACACGTTTTGTCGACGACACGCTGCGAAATGGCACGGTGGAGGAGACGGCGGACCTGAAGTTCAGGCTGCTGAGGGCACGTTCTGACGAAATCACGAAGGAGCAGGCTGCAAACGCGAGCGATGTGAGCGCGGCGGGCGTGTTGATGGATCCGCTCAACTTCTACCAGGTACGTTCGTCGTCTTCGCATACTGCCTGCACCAACGCATAGCTGAATGTACATGTAGTATTACGGATTCGACGCCTCTGTCTTGCCGTTCTGTAATGTCTTGGAGACGCGTAACTCTACCATCACCCCCTTCGAGACCGGCATCGCCTCTAACCTCGGTATCGACACTGCACTCGACGCTTTCCTCACGGCCATCGAGGTGGTGAACTATGATGCAATCCCGGGAGACGCGGACGATCCTGTCCAGGACAGGTCCTGGATGCGACAGTACTGCTCAGAATACGGTAAGTAA